GGAAAATGAATTTAAAGAATGGGGCTCAAACAAGGGCTAAGTTGACTGATAGAATTAATTTCTTTGTTACTCAAATACTATAACCTTAAAAAGTACAGGGTAACAAGTACCTAAAAATTGCAATTGCACTCACCATAAACTTGACATCACACGCAAAGTTAACAGGCAACTTAAAGACAGTCACTTTGAGATACCTTCCGGAACAAAAAAGACACACCTCTCTTAGTGCAACTAGCAGGATATATAATTTTAACATCCAACATGTGTGGACATGATAGTAGGTCAAGATTCGTCACCATCATCAATAACACCACAAATAATGACGGGAAAAGACTCCAATTTGAGCTCTTATATTAGAGGGGGTAGGGTTTTGACACGGTGCTTTAATTTTACTAATTTTAATCACATCTTTACCCCTTTAATTTATCTTTATTAAAAGTGAGAGCTCACCTTAGCAACAGCATAAACACCAAACAAACCAGTGTCCTTGTAGTTGGTGTTAAAAGCCATCATGCTTTCAGCTATTTCATTGATGCCAACCCTCTGTGCAAGTTCAGAACTGTAAAAGGATTTATAAACCCAATCAATGAGTTAAGGCACGTGGTTATGCACTTCTTATGTGTACCATAGAATCAAATTACATGAACTCTAGGATATCATTTGAAGTATACTAACCCCATATGCTTTCCACCACCTGCACTTTTATTCCAAGAACCTAACATCGACTGCATGACCATTAAGGCAATGGAATCTGGATCTGTCCAAGATGCCCCTTCAAAAGCAACTGCAAATTGCGCGAGAGGGATGTCGTCATCAAGTATCCTAACCTGATTTTTTTCACAAGAGAGGTCCCAATAATGAGAATATAGCCCTTAGAGACCATCAAGCCCTTAAACAAGATAAAGATACCTCTGAGCCCGTGAAGATTGCTGGTTGTTTAGCAACTAACTCAGATGCTGTGGTTGTATCTGTCGATAGCTTTGTAAACAATTTTTTCACCTGTTCAACAATATCTTCATGCTTGACTGCGCCAGAGGCAGCAATCACCTATAATAAAAGCAACAGAGGAAAAGTCAATAGTCGATCAGCAGCAAACAACCAGTTATCAAGGCAGATATACAACACCACCAAAGACTAGCTAAACTTCTGTGGAAAAAGACCTACCATCCTGGGAGCAGTATAGTGTGTTGATATATAGTTTCTTAGATGCTCTTTGCCAATTGTCTTGATATTTTCAGCAGGCCCAAGAATTGTTCTACCCAGGGGCGTGTATTGAAATGCAGTGGCGTGTAGATGATCGAATATAACTTCTTCAGTCTGACCTTCAACCTACAATAATCATAAACATACAAATAGAGCACTCAGGACAGACAATAAGCATGAGAAATTAATACCAGTGCACCATAAATCAAGAGAGTTTTGACCATCCCTTAGGAACAACAAATTGAAGTAATGAAAAATAAATAGTACTACAATAGAATGCATATCAAAATAAGACTATTTTTCAGAGAATAACTGCCAGAAGTCTTTGCAGAAACACACAAGAGACCCTCTCTACCAGGTGGAAACCTTTAAAATAAAATATAATAAAAAAAATATTGATGGCTACTTGACCATTCCCATGCTGCAAGTCAAGATAAAAACTTGTTGTACCATATGTAATCTGTGTAGCTTGAAAAGTCAAATAGCGGAGATGGGGACTGGGAAAAGATTTAAACTTTTTGCGCAAAAGAACATCTCGTATTACAGAAAAAGAGAGAACAAAAATATAGAACAATAAACACTAAAGTCCTACTTTTTATTCATACCACTTCAGTAACACAAAAAGTGTTCAAGTTTTTCACAGATGGATAATATTTCATATTTCAGTAATATCTTTTCAGCCCTTTTAATTCAATCCATAAGAAGCCATCCTGTATCAACCTTATGAGAGCATCTAAAAGAGAGCATATTTGCAATTTAGAGAGTAAAAATTTTTAAATGCTCCAACAACCTCTTTATCTATGACACTTAATTTTACTACTCCCTATATGTATATATTATTTTTCATTACCTTTTATTTTCACAAGCTTTCCTCTAAATTATTATATTATTTTCCTTCATTTTCTTTATATATACTATTTAATTGAGTCAATATATGAAACACTAAAAATTGAAATATTTTGAATGTATTTAATTAGGGGTGGACAAAATATCTAGACCTAACCAAACCAAACCGAGCGGTTCTGTTCGGTTTGGTTCTACGAAAAAATTAATGGTTTTGATTCTTCAAACTAAAAACCATTTGGTTCCGGTTCCGATTTCGTTTCGAGTTCGGTTCTGAGGCTAGAACCAAGAACCAAACATAATTTATAATTTTATTTTTTGTATGAATCTAATTTTATATTAATGGAAGCCAGTCCAATAGCCATTATTTTTTACATCCCATTAAACGTGTCTACCTCTTCAATTTATTTTTTCTAATAGCCATAGCCGTCCAGCCCAAAGGGTTATGAGAAACCTAAATTACCAATTCCAATTTGTCTCTCAGCATTCATCGTCTCACTCTTGTCATCGGCGCCGCCTTCCAATCCATCATTATATTTTTCTCTGAGAACACTTTGAATTCTGAGATAGTGAGGTTTGTTTGTTTATAACTACATATAATTTATAAAC